ACCACATTTCTAATTAGATAGTCATTGACCACACCCCCATAATTACCTTATTTTTGGGGTTCTTTCCAACAGTAATTGTACCAGACAATTGCTCTCCCATTTTAACAGTGAGGCAGTCCTCGATATATAAGACAGTCTGTTTCCAGTGAGTATAGCGAGCGGCAGGGGCTAAGGAGGCGGAGTCAGAAAATGGGCGTGGTTCATAAAAGTGGGAGTGGTTTGATACTTACAGGTGGTAATGGTGGTACGTTTGTGACATTTGGTGAAGTCCACAGTAAAATAGGCTACCAGAGCATCAAGATAATCGTTATGGGTTGCTGTCAATATGTACGGAGATGAAAATGATAAATCTTCAGATTTGACTGTGTTAAGATCAATCTCCTACGACAATAATATAAATATTTCTGTCAATATTCTATACTTACTTTCACAAGACAGTGATCACAGCAAACCTGTCTATTGTCCACTACATCAACCAATGGCTCCTTCAGTGCAATGTCCCTAATGCTGCTCATGTTAAAACCATAAACTGATTCCCACCCTAGAGAAAGAGGGAGCAGCTGTCACTAATAATACAAGCATGTCTGTCCTACAGTATATCTTATCATCTTTATACTTCCTGTCTTCAATGGCTGTCACATAAAGTGATGCTCTGTCAGGAAACAGCAATCCACCAGGTTTCTAGATTGATGGATATTAATAAATAGCCACACCCATTGACTCCACCTACCAGGAACTTGTCCCTAGCAAATATAACAGTGTCTAGCATGCTCTCATAAAAGAGGCAGTATCCCATCCATTCAGACACGATTACATCAACATGTTTGATTGGTAGCTCAATCTCTTCCATTTTCCCTTTTATTAACGTAACCCCTATACAAGGAAAGGATATCGCTACAATCTGATTGGTCAGTTTGTACTTACGATCGGTCATCCCATTGTCACGAATAATGTCACGAGCTTGATTAATAATATTAGAACAATCCACCTGTTAGAACGATAGTCATGGAATTCAATCAATGATTATCATTAATATTAATAATCAATAATTAATAATAATATTATTATTATGACTGATAACTCACTCCATAAACATGCTTAGCTCCTGCCCGTACAGCAAACATGCTCAATATTC